TGTTAGTCGAGTCCAACGATGTAAATTTTCCAATTTGAAGCCTCGTTCAGACTCTTTCTCTTTTAATAATTTCAGTTGTTTGCTGATAACTAATAATTAAATAAGATTTAAAAGAGTTAAACACTGTATTCGTCAACCATTACTTCTCCTTATTTAATAAAAATAAGTATATATTTCATAGTTTGTACATTTCGTCTGTTTATTAGACAATAGTTTGATAACAACAGAATAAACAACTCATTTCTGAATCAAATATTCTTTGTACCCTTTAATAAGGGAACATAATTTCATGATCAACTGTTAAATTTGCTTATAATTAAATACAATTTATATAAATAATTTTACATTAAACGAATTACGACTGTCTTGTATAAACATTACTCATAAAAAACTGATTGGTCATCTTTGAATGTACTTTGTATTCGCAAAAGTAAAGAAAAATCATATAATTAATAACAAAGTTCTTTGGTAGAAAGTGAATATAAATTTAACAATTTTTTTATAAAATAGAATTACAACGACATGTGGGAATCTTTTTATTCTAATCACAAGTAACGTGTCGACTTTCTGAACCTCGCTTACCTCAATTCTGACAATGTGCCATATTGATTACTAAATCAATAAATACGTTCTGAGATAAAATCATACAGCTCATTTTATAAGTTCAATCGTCTAAGAGTGTGTGGGTGGCAGAGTGGATAAATAAAGAATGAAAACTCAGCTACTTTTTCATCACCCTCAATCTTACTCATTGCTTTATGTTACATTACCTTTAACGTTTAACCACACTCACACCTGTAAGTTAACTGTTGAGTTTGAAACTATTTAAAACGCAAGATTGAAACTTTATTAAGAATTTTTAAAATAAAAATGAACTAACAGCAAGAAATATTTCCTTTCGTCCAACATAAATCATTAGGCCATACTTGAATGTTTTTTATATCTAATGGTTGACATTGACATGTTTTAGGCACATAATTACGTTTAGTGAAAAAATCTATTAGAAATTTAACGCGATCAGGAAAACTGCGTACTTTAAGCCATTCCATTTGTACAACTGGTATATCAAATAAATCGAATATCTGACTTCCACTTTCTAGAGCAAAACTTTCACTTCCTTCAATATCCATTTTTATTATTGCTCCACGTACACCACGTGCATGTAATATTGGTACCAACTCATTTAATGTTATTGTTTTTACTAAATATGGATCATTGTCTTTACTTTGATTATATGTTGTATTTTGATTATTTGTTGGTTTCTTTACAATATCTAATTCTTGACCTCCAATATTGTCTTCATCATATGATAAACGTAAATATTGTCCAGAATGTGAATAAAGTGCATTTTGTATAAGAACAACTCGATTAGAAATATTTTCTAATTGAACAGCACGATGAATACGATCAACATTAGGAGCAAAACATTCAATAGCTAGTACCAATCGACCTAACGCAGCAGCATACATTGTATAAGTACCAATATTAGC